TGTGACTGTATAATCTTATCATTTCCGAAGATCGGGATTGAACTCTTAATCTTCATGAAAATAGTTCTTTCCTTCGCGAATCGTTCAAAGTAATTTCTGATAATTGGTTTCATCTTTCGTGGAAATTCTTCGAATATTCTCATCGAGTCAGTATAGATACTGTCGACTAGTCCATGTTGAAGGTAATCGAAGGCTAGTAATGGGTTGGCTTCTCCAATGAAGATAGCCTTTGGTCCGGTTCTGGTCATTTTTGGGTAAAAACCCATGGTAGTGTGTTTTTCCTTGTAGTCCACCAGAGACGCCCAGTAGGACTGATACTTCTCGAGGGTTACCTTTTTCAGGGCCTCTTTTTCCTGTGTGGTTGGTATTTGGGCTATTTTGGGTATTTTCATTGAGGGTAGTTGTGCCCTTGGTTCAACTGGTTGTTTTTGGGGCATGGTTTTGTATGATTCGTTCAAGGCTTTTTGGGCTTCTTCTTTGGTTTGGAAGGCCTGGTGTGAGACTTTCTTTCCGTTGGTATGTTGCGAAAATATCGCATAATCTACGTATATTCCTCTGAATGGTCCACTAAAGATAGCGTACCATTTGTTCGGTCTTTATTTCACATGTCTTCAGACTTTTCTGATGGTGGTTGGCTGCTCCTTTTTATCTTGTCCTTTAGCTCTTTGCAGATAGTGCATTTGTGGTCGTCATACCTCATCAGGAAGCTGCAGAGCTGTTCCTTGATAGATTCCTCTAGTCCTGCGACCCAATAAAAGATAAGGTGATCAGAAACCTTATCTCTGTAATCTATATTGTGCAATTATGTAGTGTCGAGTGTAAGAGTCGGGTCCCAGCATGAGATTCCATTCTTAGCTGATAAGGGTTCCAAAGCTGTATAAATATGTGACCTCTCCATTTGGAGAAGGCAGAGTGAAATAAACGAATTTGTTTCAGAACTCTCTGAAAGATCTCTCTCAAGAGATTGGCTTGAAGATCTATATCTTCTGGAGGCCTTGAATAAATTCTTTTGAATCACAAACCGATTACTCCAGAACTCTGGAACTAAACACCACCCGTCCGTTATAATTATCTTTCGATGAACGTTTCCTGAAGTATCCAACTTTTATTTCTTTTATTGTAATTAATTTATTTAATTCTGTAATTATATTATTAATTTGTTCTTTTTCTATTATTCGTTGCATATCTCTTACACTATTTTCTGTTTCGAAATATTGTATTGGTTTGTTTAATAATTCAATATTTTTCTTATATATTTTTTCCATTCTAATCGTTATGGTTTTCGATAATATCTCTTTTAATTTCTCTTACTGCGTTAAATATTGAACTGATCATTTTTATTCTTCTATTTTCTTCATTAAGTTCATTCGGTTCGATTGTTCCATAAGTTCGTTCTTTAAATATACTTTCTATAGTTTCAACTAATAATTGTTCAAGATGATCTAGACATGGTAAACTTTCAAGATTTAATAGGGATAATTTTTCGATAAAGTCTTCGTTGAAATTCATTTTGTAAGATTGTTGATTTGTGATATTGTTCTTCGTAATTTAGAGTAATCTTCCTGGTTTTCTTCTGATTGTTCAGTGTTGAATAATAGAGATGGTGATTCTTGTATACTTAATCTTGGGTTAAGTCGTAACAACGATTTTCGTCCTGGTTCTATTGCTGTTAGTGGTCTTTTTAAATAGATTACTGGTTTAAATAAGTCATCTATTTCTATAATATCTTTGTTTCTAAAGTTTAAACTGTGATGACTATTTGTTAATGCGTAGTTAATCTGATAGGTTATAGAAAAAGGGTGATTTCCTTTTTCCATGAAATCTGTTCTATCTAGTTTGTATTGGATAACTATTGAATTATCCAAATCTTTATCTTTTAATGATAATCCGAGTTGTATATTGATGTTAAATTTAATTTTCCCAGAAGAAAGATTTCCTTTTCCTTCGGCTATAATACTTTCTTTATAATTGGTTAATCTGTCATCTCTAATTTGAAAGGTAATCGGGGAATCGATACCTTCTTTGAATGTTGATTTTATAATTATTTGGATAGTACTACAGTGTATGTAGGCTATTTGTTTTCTTTGTTTTTCGGGACAATTTCTGAGCCGTTCTAAGATTTGTTCTTTGTTAATAATTGGGAGAATGAGTTCTCCTGTAGTTTGTTCAATCGGTACTGGTGTTTCTCCTACCATTATTCCGAACTTTATTATGTTTGTAGTTCAATATTTAACGCAGTAAGAGAAATTAAAAGAGATATTATCGAAAACCATAACGATTAGAATGGAAAAAATATATAAGAAAAATATTGAATTATTAAACAAACCAATACAATATTTTGAAATAGAAAATAGTGTAAGAGATATGCAACGAATAATAGAAAAAGAACAAATTAATAATATAATTACAGAATTAAATAAATTAATTACAATAAAAGAAATAAAAGTTGGATACTTCAGGAAACGTTCATCGAAAGATAATTATAACGGACATTGGCTCCCATTTTTAGAAGAAACATTAAACCGGATAAGAGAAATACTAAGTTTTTTCGAAAACGAATTAAAGTCTCCTGAATAAAATAATAATAAAAAAATAATTATTATATTCAAGGATAAAATTGAAATTATCAAAATTTCAAGGTCACCCTTGAAGTAAAAATGACATTTAAAGTTATTTTTGTAAATCCCCCGTTTTAAACATAGTTGGGTATGAAAAATGTATATGCATTTTGTGATATTTTAATATTCTATCCCATATATATTATTTTATATCACCCTAAAAAATTAAATGCAAAAAACTCGTCGTTCACATACTAAAATTTGGAATTTTTGTTCAATTTAAAAACAAACAAAACATGGATGTATACATACAGGAAATATATAATGAACAAAAAAAAGAAATACAAAATATTGACAAGTCCACGAGAGATCTAAAAGCCAAGCTACAAAAAAAAAGCACTCGAGGCGAACTTCAAAGACAATCTTCAACCAGAAGTTTCACAAAAACCACCAAATATATATATATAAGTTTAATATTTTCTTCTTCTATATATATATATATATATATATATATATATATATATACCAATTTAAAAAATTGATTAAAATATATTGTCTGGGTTAATTTTCTTCTTTTAATATGTTTTGGTTATTTTTTTTCTCTGTGTAAAAGCCAGAAAAAAAATACTTGTTTGAAAAAAAGGCTAAGTCCCACGGCTGAGTCGGCTGACCATCTCTTTGCACTTCTTGAGTGACTCGAGTCTCTGAAGCCTCATGTCCTCGTTGAACTTCTTGATGAACGCTTCGACTCTCCGATTCAACTCGTCCTGACTCAGTGACGGTTCCTTCCTCACTATCATCGGCATCGTCGTATCCTCCGGCGACGACTGGTAATAATTAGTCCGGTCCCTGAACGTCTCCGACTTCTTGAACTCCGCCGCGTTCGAGATCACACGGCCCTGATTTTGCCACGTGACACACTTCATGTACTGCCTGGTCAACGGCATTGACTTCTTTTCCTTTATCATCTTCCACGTATTCTCCAGCGTCTCGTGCCGCATCGGCTTCGCCCCTTTCCTCAACGCTCTTGCTCCTCCTGTTCCAGAGACTGTGAATTTACTAATATGCCCTTTCGTATGAACGGTATTTACAGTTTTGACTTTGGCGCGGGACGTCGACAGCGACGCTAATTTTGATTTTTTTATTTAATTTTAAAAAATAGATTTGGAGAAAGCGAAGCGAACAACCAAAAAGCGAGATAACCGTTATCTCTTATATGACGTTACATGTTCTGCTTTTATATTATCTTTTTTAAAAAAAATTTAAATAAATTAAAAAATGATTAATTTGTACCTTCTGGGCTTGATTTGACCGTTTCCCGGTGACCTAACCTTGCAGAAAGCAGAAGTCTCTCCGTCAGAGGAAGATTCTCCGATCCAATCTCCGGCGATTCCATCCATTTCAATGCCGGCGTCTGCATCGGCGCCACGAATTCATCTCCGTCGTCGGCGATCAAATCGTAACTCTCAACCACTACTCTCTTCTCCTCCTCCTCTGCAGCCGCCGCCGATGATTCCTCCGGCATATCTGGTAGCTCATCCTCCTCTGCATACACAACCGCCGTCCCAGCCGTCGATAACTCTTCCTCCACATCCTCAACAGTCAGAGGCAGCGAGTCCGTCTCCAAACCGAAATCGGTGGCCGAATCCACGGCCATGACTACCAGCTGCCGAGGCGGACTTTGGTGGAAGATCTGCCCTGTCTGGATGCTACCGCTTCCGGATACGACATCGACGTCTTGATCGTCGTCGCGGTAGCTGGAGCTCCGGTAGAACTTCGAAGAAGCAGCAATGGTGATGATGATGCCGTTGGTGACGAAGTATAGATAAGGAGGTTTCAGCCATAAGAGCAAGGAACTCCACAGGATCGAAGCTCGCGAGACAGAGAAATCGATGGCCACCGGAACATATACCTTCAACAATAGAGCCATGGCGATGACGCCGGTGGAGATAAGCACCGCCTTGATCGACATAATCCATGAACCGAACGACACCATTTTTTCCGATTTACCCTCTCTCTCTCTTCTGTGTGTGTGTGTGTGTTTGTCTGTGGTTGTGTGTATGCAACACGCAACGGGCGATTTTTGAGTTTATATAGGGAGGACTGACTGAGAAGTGGGGTATGGAATCACCTGAGCCGTTGGATCTGAGAATCTGTAGATGAACAGTTGAGATTTGTCGAGGGAGATGGTGATATATGTACGGGGTTTTAGTGGAATTTCTATTAAAAAAAACAAAATACCTTGATTCTCCAATTGGTAAATAACGATGACCATAAATAATGGTTTACGTGTACTTGTGTAATAAGTTGTGATGTGCCATCCTCATTGAAAATTACATGAAGGCTCATAAGGATATTGTATAGTTTATGTTTTTATACAAATGATTCCAAAAAATTATCGATTGATTATTTCAGATAAATTAATATATAAATTTTAATTTTGAAAGTTCACCCGTTGTATTAGGTTTTTCAAATATGATCATAAATATGTAGGAATTCACGCGTCAACTCTCCTCCAAATTAACTGTTTCTTAAGTTTTATATTAAGAATCATAATTAATTAAATAAAGATAACACAGATTGCCAATAATGTTATCTAATCGACAGATCCGTAATAAATATATATTCATTTTTCTATCAAATATAAAAAAAATTGACAACATATTTCTTGTTTAAATCTTATTTTTTAACTTATTTTTCAAATTACAACAAATTCATTATATTATTCTAATCTTCTCAATTATCTCACATCAAACATCTAAAACAAACAAACCATTACGATATCACTCTTAAATATATCAATTATTGTTAATGTAGTAATTAAACATTGATTATGTTACAAATTACAATATTTAAATATCATGCCATGTTTTCTTTAGATATATAGAAGTTCAGTTTGACCGACCACAAATAAATGTGATATTAAAGCATTATTGTTGTATTTTATATAAAATTTTGACGAAAAAATTCGGACCCGTTAATTAACGTCTTAATTGGTTATGATTTTCAATGTTTGTATTATATTTGAATTTTTTTAAAACAATTGATGAAATATTATGCTAGAATTAAACTTTAATATTAATCTGGTTTAAATTAATTGGTTTATTTGATTTTCTTCTTTTATAAATGATTCTAAATATCGAGATTTATTTATTCTGTTATTGCAGAATAGGGATGGCTTCATCCGGTTTCGGTTCGGGTTTGATTCAGTTTTATTCAGATTTGGTTAATTCGGTTTTATAAAAATTATTACCACTCGATTTATATTATATTCGGTTCAGTTATGATAAAATACTCATTTTTTAAGAAAATTTATGATTTTTCAATTATTTTTTTAATCTGTTAAAGTTCGGGTTTGATTTTTTCGTTTTTAGAAAAAAGCAAAAAAACATTATTATTCGGTTTTACATCTAATGTGGTTCGATTATGATTACATGTTATTCAATTCGGATGAGTTGATATTTCATGAGGAAAGGTAAGAAACGAATCAGTAATCAATTACATTCAAAATAGAATATCGAAAAAATATAATAAAAAAAAATTGAAAGTATATTATAATAATAAATAAAGTGGTATTAATATAAGACACGAGTGGGACATGGAACATTAAATTTAATTAAAAACAAAACATTTTTCAGTATCTATCAAATAGACAAAGAAGCGTTGGTGGGGGGAGAAAGTGCATTAGCTTCCCGGCTAAGTATGTTTCTGTTATTAATTTATTTTATGCGGTAATTTTTTTCCTTTGTTTTTTTTATGAGAACATTATTCATTTTATTATGTGAATTAGCATATTAATTATACCGCCACGTAAATCAAATATATCATGTGCACATAGAAGTAAGTCATGACCGATTATAGTATAAAATTTTGATTTATGGGTCTTCTCTTGATTAGATATTACATTATACATATCAAGTATTCTTATTGGTTTTTATTATGTTGTTTTTATATGGAATTCATTATTTTTTAAAAATTTATATTCAATTTTATGGTAGATTTTAATATGATTTATTTTTATTTTTATTTATTTTCATATGTTATTTGGATTAGATTAATTTAATTTGAAAGAATTATATGGAAGAAGAATTAAATTTTAAATAAAATTTGATTTAAAATTTAAATTATATTTTAAATAAAAAGAATCAAAACAAACCTAAATCTATTTCCCTTAAAACTGTAAGAGTGAAATAAGTAACTTTGAAAATATTTTTGAAATTATATTTATATATATGATGTCTCAAATTTATTAATTTCATTTTTCAATCATTTTTCCGTTATTTTTTTATGTTAAATATTAATAAAAAAATAATAGTAATAAAATCTTCAATATATACAAGTATATGTACTGAAAATAATTTTTTCAATATAAAAAAATTTATTAATTAATTTATTTAAATGTGTTGATGTGCACATATAAATGGAGAAAATATGGTACGGATCATCGTTAATCTTGCTCAATCAAAATAACTTTTTTTTAAATATATCAATAGAAAAAAGTGTAAAAAATAGGTTTAATATCATTTTTTTTTACCTGAATTCTTAACATAGTTATGTTTCCCATAACAACAAATTTAAGATACCATTCACTCGTTTTAATTTCTGAAATATTTTCAAAAATACTAAATTTCATTATAAAAAAAATATGATGATTTTTGTTGTTGGTATAAAATCTAAAAAGGTTGAAAAAGAAAGTAAAATATAAATGAAAGGCACTTTACACCCCAATAATGGATATAAAATGTAGTCCAAAGGAGGAAAAAGAATTATTAGATAATATAATAAAAGGATATGTACTATTCAGTGCTCCAACGGTAAAGTTTATTTCTCAAGTTGCACCACAAATTTTGATTTTTATTACAATATTATTTATTTATATAAATTTAGTAAGGTGTGTAAAAAAGCCATGACGAGAGTTTTATTATTTTAATACGTTAATTATTTTATCTATTTTTATTATTTGATGAATAAAAGTGGTTAGCAAACATGTTTGTACCAATACAAAGAAAATTTTCCTCATAAGTTAGATTCTCATAACAATATGTCATATGTGGCATTATTGCACTTTATACATTTTCGGATATGAATTTTCTATTTCTAAAAAAAAATAGATTTATTTTTTTCTGATTGTTCTATGTGAGTGTGAGATTCTATGTAGAATTTTTTATTAAATCATTTATTTTAGTTTGAATTCAGTCATATTTGAACTCAAATTTATTTTTAAAAAATTATATTGGTCAATTTCTATATAAAATTTAATTCAAAATATTTTTTATATATTTAATTTTTCGCTGGGTGTCAATCCTTCAATGTAAATAAAAAAAAAGTAACTACACAAGTACACACATTTTACGCCAAAAACATTTGAATTTGTTTGGAAAAGTCGAAAACGGTCAATATTATAATGATGGAAAAACATCATATGGACATATTCCATTTCTTGGTTAGTTTTGGAATAAGGAAAGGAAACATTATATGATCCTTTTCTTTAATCATATATTATGACATCGATCGCATCATACGTTTTTCTCTAACAGTTTGTAATACACAACATGTTCATCAATTTGTCTATAATTCTAAATTCAAAGAACCACTATATTAATTTAATAATTAGGGAATTTAATAATAATACTTACGGGATTTGTATTTTCAACCTCTTGCATGATTATTATTTTTAGTTGGCTCCTCTTGTTTCGAATGATTATTGATGAAGTTAAGTAAATATATTTTTTTGTTTGTATCAAAGTGAACAATAAAGTATTATCACGATGAAAAGTAGTAGAAGGATCCCAAGTGGGATTAAATGCAACTCTTTCATTTCGGCAATTACGGAATGGATGGTCGGTCCACTTAAAAATACATCTTATCAGTTGTTTTTTATTACTCTCTTTTCATGTATTTTTTAATCTCCTCCCAAAAATCATGCAAATTATTTAAATTTTAACAATTCTCCAATATTTTTTTATAAGAAAGTATATATATATATATATATATATATACACTTTTTGTACGTTTTTAAAGTGCTTATTCATATCATGTGGGTCGAGGGAAATACGAACACTTCGTATAGAAATACAAGAGCAACCTAAAATCCTCATGCTATGATGTGGTATATTTTCTTGAAATTTGACAATTATTACAAAATTTAGATATGAATCTAAGAATTCGAACCACCAAAACAACGACCAGCTTGTATATATATTGGTTATCATACATGTTCCATACCACAGTTTCTTTGTCCAAATTATATATACTTGTAACAAGAAAAAATGTCATAAATGTACTAAAAAATAGTCATGGACATATATATATATATTTCATACCGATAACCAATATTACAGGTGAATTTGTTGATATCTGACCACATCTCGATAACCTTGAATAATTTCTCATGTATTTGTTACTTCATCATTTATGGTTATATTTTGCTTAGGTATTGGGGAAATGTTTCAATAAATTGTCTAACAATTGTTTGGAGGAGACCAATTATAATAATTACGAAACACTCGGCACCATGAAAAATCCAGTGATTATAAAGAGTTTTAAGAAAAAGCACAAGTGTTTTTTTTTTATGACCTGATATTTTTGAATTGAAATATGTATTAATCTTTTGGACACGATGATATATTATCGTGTGAATATCACAATCTTTATGAAAGTATTTTTTTTATAATTATAATACTGATCCTAAACAATTTCAGGATCAACGATGTGTTTGCGAGCTTTTTTGCTTTTACGAATTTAGAAAAAAAATGTGAAAATTTAGTATTATTTAAAACATGCACGTTGAAATCCATGCAAACCTTATTCTATCCTCCGACAATTGAATATTCACATTTTGTATAGGAAAAAAAAACATTTTCATTTCGTCCCTATGGTTTTCTTTTTTTTTAAATGACATTCGATTATTTCTGGCAACAAAAAAAACTCGATTTTTTTTTTCGAAAATTCCAACTCCAAAATAGATTCTATTGGCTAGAAGCTTCTTCGAAGGAGCGAGAGAACGTAAGGACAAACCGTTCTCAACTGTCAGTGACAGATGTTCCAGTGATCGGTAACTGTCAGTTTCCCGCCAGTTCTTAGATTCTGGACGGCGTTTTCGTCAAACATAACGGCGCGAACTGCTCTCCACGCGTGAACGACGTCAACTTGGCCGTCAAATTAACGGAAGAGTCACGGGGAATCTCTGAAGATCCGTTACGTAGCACCGTCGGCATTCAGGAGGTAGGCCACGTGGCACTTAAAGACAGGTCCGAAAATTTCCCGCATCTTCTTGGTCTAGAGGAGAGATAATGTAAAATAAATAACGGTAAGGAGCAGACAAAGGACAATAAATGTTTTGATAAATACTGACCTTTGACCGACGATGTTGTTTGTGTATAAGATAAGGTTTCTAACGTTTAGATGAATATAAAAAATGATTATATTTGATATTTTGGTAGATAGTGTAACCACCAACGTACCATTAACCTTAATCTTTACGTGTATTTGGTAAATCCTTACGTCAGCATACAATTTTTTTTTTTAAAAATATTTAACGATTTCTTTATCATTTCACAACTTGTAAATGTCAATCCGTTCATACTAGGATGACCATTCATGCATAACTCATGTAAAATCAAATCTGAGAGCACTAAATCGTATTTGAAATAATTTGGATTTAAAAACGAGGTTGGATATTATATATGATATTTTTAAAATTAATTAATTAAATCAAAATTGAACATATATATGTATATATATCCAAATGCCGAACACGGAAATAAAAATATATTCGCAAAATGATATCTTTTTTTTTTAATGAAAACTGAATATATTAACTACAATCTGGTAATGGAAGATTAACTACAATCTCAAACATTCTGGTAAAAGCTTCAAGAACATCGCTGTGACTTCGATGGGGCAAGGAGGAAGGATCTCGTCTGGCTGGCTACTACCGAGACTTCTTGTTCTGTTTCGATCGTTTCCTTTTATCTCTTTTCCCCTCGGGTTTCGAACCCGACTTGCGTTTCTTCCTCGCCTTCTTGAAAGTTTTCGTTTTCTTCACGGGCACAGGCTGCTTGGCTACGACAGGGGCTCTCCCGACAGATTTCGAGGCAGTTGGTCGAGATGTTACGTTAGCCTCGTCTTCTTCGTGAGAGATTTCACTCGTTGTAACCGTGACTTTCAAATCTCCGGTGTCATATGTCATCGTCCCTTTGATCCATACAGAAAAACAAGAACCAACACATCAAGAAAGGGGGAGAAGGCTTTTTTTCCTCATTTACAACCAGACAAGACATCATGGCATGTTACTAGGTTGTTCATGTCCTATCCTCGTTTGTCACAGGGTTAGATTTAGAAAGTATCAACAGAAGGATTTTCTTGAATTCGACTAATCCTGATCAATCCTAAAGACCGCTCCCCACAAACTTGTACACAGATATTTACACGCATACGATAAGGTCGAGCTTAACGAGGTATTAATATACTAGTACGAATACCAGACACAGACAGCCACTGCAATGGCTCCATCTCAATCAAGTAGTGTTTCGACCTAATTTATTTACTTATGAATCGGTTCTTTAAGAAGCTAGCTACGGGTTTGCAACCAGCTTGTTTATCATGTCTAGTTCAATTCTAGGAGACAGAATGGATATTTCATCTCCAAAACAGAGACTTTCTTCCCTTCTAAGCGAGTTTACGAGGATTACCAGAAACCGATGCATCCGGCTCCTCTGGTTCTTGCACTTCTTCTCCTTCTTCTTCGTTTTCGACATTTTGACCAGCTCCAGCGACAAATTGTTCTTCCAATTTCCGCTGCATCATCAGTCAATTACAAGATCCCGAATACGTAAAGAATCAGTAACGAGCAAAAACAGAACCCAATTGGCATACATAGGCACTACATCTACCAATTACTCAAGGACCACAGAATCTATTAACATTGCAGTATATAGCTTGGATTCTGAAAACTGAACACAACGAAGACTTTGATCTTCATCCATGGATCAGAAAAAAAGATAGAAGATGAAAACTTTTTCAAACCTTTTTACGGGCCTCGATACGTTTCTTACGCAGTGTTTCCTCCTGCTGCTTCTGTGCTTCCTTTCTCCTCTTCTTCTTCCTCTTGTGAAAACCATCCACAAAGTCCCTAAACCAGAAGAACCCCAAAAACAACAACTGAATACCCAGTTCATGTCTGGATTCGCAGACAGGCACCAACTAAAAAAAATGCCCAGCTCATGCTTGGATTCGATTTCCAAAACAACGAGTTAGCGGTTACCTGAGATCTTTCTCGTTGAAAGAGACACTGAGGCCTTTGTTCTTGAGAGCTCGCTTCTTGATGTGGCGAACTCTTGTCGGCGGAGCTGTCTCATCCAACTCCAAGTCTCCCTCCATGGCAGAGCTCCTCCGATCGAACGAAAACGATTCCGATTAGGGTTTTGGAATCAATGCTCAAAGTCTGCGGCGAAGCAGAAGAACACAACCAGAGCTTTGATGACCTTTGGGCTTATAGGCCCAATAGATTCTCTAATTTGGGCTTAACTGTAACTATTCAGGAGTATTTCATAAACTTGAAAAAGTTCGAGAAAAATACATAAATGAGTGTATATTTTATTTATTTAACAAAAAATATTAAAAGAGTATGCTTTTTTTTTCAGATTATCCTAAACTTACATTAATATTATATATTAGTATACACGGGAAAATATAAGTTTTTTAATTATATTTCTTTTTAATCAAGTCAAAAAATCATATTTTATGAAAAGAATATTAACTACATTTTTACCCAATTTTTTTTAAAAAAAAAGGTATTTAACCATTCTACCTTTTTATTTCGAAATTTTCTCAGGCGTAAAAAAGTTTGTATACGATGTCTTTATGAACGTAAAAAGATAGTCAATATAGTTTTTTGTTTTGTTAAACTAGTCAATATAGTTTTATCTGCTTTTTAAAGATATATTTTTTACTTCTCACTAATTATTTCAATTTTTTTTAACAAGGTATAAAAAAAGCGTTTGCATACAAAATGGCTAATTTGGTAAAGAAAAGTTACGCCACTGACTAATTTTGGAAAATTGCCAAAACTGGTCTCTCATCATCCTCCGACAAAACCTTCCAAACCTCAATCCCCGACCAAAAAAACAAAAAAAAAAAAAAAATTCCGTCTTCTTCCTCGTTCAAAGGAAAGAGGATCATCATCACCACCATCATGAGCATGATCATGATCATGATCGTATGTTCTTGAATAAGATTTCTTCTCACTGTACATGAAAACATATAGCCGTTGACACAATCACGGGAAAAAAATGAACGATTTATTCTCGAGCTCGTTCAAGAAATACACGGACCTGAAGCAGCAGGCCCAGATGGACGACATGGAAGCAGGACGGGAGACGATGAACCTCGACAAGTTCTTCGAAGATGTCGAAAACGTGAAAGACGACATGAAAGGTGTCGAGGATCTGTACAGGAAGTTGCAGGAATCTAACGAGGAGTGCAAGACCGTACACAACGCCAAGACGATGAAAGAGCTCCGCGCCAAAATGGACAACGACGTGTCTCTGGTCCTGAAGAGGGTTAAACTCATCAAACAGAAGCTCGAGGCCCTCGAGAGATCCAACGCTAGTAGCCGAAACGTGCCCGGTTGCGGCCCTGGTTCGTCCACTGACCGGACCAGATCCTCTGTCGTTAGTGGTCTTGGCAAGAAACTGAAGGATTTGATGGATAGTTTCCAAGGTTTACGCGCCAAAATGAACGCTGAATACAAAGAAACCGTTGAGCGCAGGTATAGGTTTCCTCTTCTTTTTTTTCCAGGTATTGCATTAGGTGTAAGTATATATGCCGAGTTTTTCGGTGTATCCGATCTTGATCTTGCTTCTCACGGGTTTGTCCGTGATACTATTGGGTTTCGGCCTCGTGGGATCGGGTACCCGTGAGGTTTGGTGAGGACTCGGTGTCGGAAAACGGGTACTCTCCGATCAAAACCTGAACCCGAACTCGAAAACCAGATCACCTCCACCAACGGTCCATACTCATGCAGTCGGTGGATGAGTATCAGAGATTTCGGGTACCCGACTCACGGATTGGGCAGATATTCGTGTCATTCCGCGCCCGCCTGACGCGTTCGAGGCCTAGATTTTTTAAGTGATATACGCTATGAACGTGCAGGTATTTCACGATAACGGGAGAAAAGGCGGACGAACAAACGATCGAGAACCTGATATCGAGCGGGGAGAGCGAGAATTTCCTGCAGAAGGCGATACAAGATCAGGGTAGGGGTCAGATCCTCGACACAATATCCGAGATCCAAGAGAGGCACGACGCGGTGAAGGAGATAGAGAAGAATCTGATAGAGCTTCACCAGGTTTTCTTGGACATGGCGGCGCTGGTCGAATCTCAGGGTCAACAGCTCAACGACATCGAGAGCCACGTGGCAAAGGCCAGCTCTTTTGTCCGGAGAGGAACTGGTCAGCTCCAAGAAGCCAGGGAGTATCAGAAGAGCTCCAGGAAGTGGACTTGCTACGCTATAATCCTCATCATCGTCATCGCTGTTCTTCTTCTGTTTCCTCTTTTACCGCACATTCTGATTTGGTTCAAGTGAAAAACAAAAGAGATTCTCTGTAATGATCTTCTTCGTCATCGTGCGTGAGATTAGATAGGTTAAATCTCTCTTTTCGCCATTACAGTTCAAGAATTGCAGAAACAGTAACAGCGTTTGGATCGTTAGGGTTGATCATAGAGGGAGAGACATGCAAAGATCCAATTTTTTTTTTTTTAAATGTAACATTCAATGAAGAATATCGAATCTTGGTCATTATATTAAATCTCATGCTTGAATCTTTCTACAAAGTTTCAAGAATTTCAGAGACAGGAAGCTTATTCAGGGTTTTCTGTAATAATGTCTGAATCATGAATGTTGATCCAAGCTTTTTACGCAGCAATCAATGAAGAATATCAAATCTTGACCATTATATTACAACTCATGCTTGAATCTTTTTATAAAGTTTCGATCTTTATAAAGCGTGAGAGAAAGAATCCAAGAAACTACCGCGATCTTTTGGCAAAATGGAAGACATTATAAGCAGCCTCTCGGATGAGATTCTGCAGCAAATACTCTGTTTTATGCACACCCGAGACGCTATCAGGACGAGCGTTCTGTCGAAACGGTGGAAAGATATCTGGAAAGGCGTACCGAAAATCGTCTTTGAGCCCTTCGACCACCGGATCACGCTCGACGAATCGCTCTCTGATGCGTACGAAAAGACGCTTTCTCTTCACGTTTCGCCAAAGATCAAGACTTTCGTCGTCTCCTGTAACTTCGAGCCACGGGACAATGGGCCGAGAATCGATCAGTGGATAAAGTTTGCTGTCGATCACAGAGTTGAAGATCTTTCACTGAGCTTAAGCTTCTTCGTTCTCGACGGTATTTCTCAACCGATACCCGAGTTTTATCACCGGTTGCCCGAATTCCTGTACAACAACAAGACACTTGTTACATTGAAACTGGATTTGGTCCGATGCAACCTCACACCGAGAAACAACATTTCTTGGCCGTCGCTTAAGAGCTTGACGCTCGCTTTCTGCACGTTGAGCGACGAGTTGATGGTAAACATCCTCTCGGGTTGCCCTTTGCTCGAGAATTTGGCACTGGAATTCTGCAAGAACGTTAGCCGGATCGATATAAAATCTCGGGTTCTGAAACGACTAGAGATATGCGGAATGAGAGATCATCCGTCGGGAAGAACTGAGATTCGGGCACCGAACATTTCTTCACTGATCCTGAGAGAGCATTCCAACCACAAGTATCGAATAGTCGACGTTTCTTTTGCGTCAGAAGCCGATATTTCCTTCTCTGTATCGGACAGATTACCCGATTTTTCGGCGAAAAGAATCATCAACGAGTCTGTGGATACGCTTCTCAACATTCTCCCGAAGCTGCAACACGTCGAAAATCTCTCTCTTGGAACCTGGACTCTTCAAGTAACCGAAATCTAAACGAAAATCTTGCGATCTCTATTTGCATCCATCGAGATAACGTTTTCGCCTTTTTACAGATTCTATCGGTTGCAGAGCTAAAGGGACTTGCATACCCTTTCTTGAAGTGCAAACATGTAGCGTTTCACGGGATGATCGATAAATTTACGCTCCCGGGAATAGCACGGCTTCTGCAACGCTCGCCCGAGCTGAAAACACTCATCATAAACCTCGAATCAACAGGGCATTTCCCGGTTCGTCTTTTGCATTCGAATCTATGAATCTGAAGTAAAAAACGCAGATCAGAATCTTACGCCCTATTCGATTTCAGGCATGCCATTTAGAAGATTATATCCCGAATTTGGAAGAAGATTACCTGAGATCAGGGAACAGAGTGTTCCTCTGTTTGCTGCATTCATTGAAGACAGTGAAGATCACAGAAGCCAAAACAGAACAGAACTATGGATCCAGACATGAGCTGTTGGTGTCTGTGTTGGAGTTTTTGCTCAGCAGTGGGAGGGTATTGGAGAAGATGATCATCCAAGTGAAACCGCATCCTCATGATTCTGAATTAAACGAATTGATCAAGATTAGAGAAAATTTATCGCATTGTCCAAAAGCATCAAAAGATGTTGCAGTTTGTCTGCAAAAACTGGTTACAACTGTTTAGGATATGTTATGTAAGCGAAACCTTTGCGTAAAATTATTTTATTTTATTTATTTGTTCTTATATAGATATATAGGCTTAAAAATGAAATAAAATTTTAAAACGAATGACCATGTCCTTTTTTTTTTGTCTTCTTGCAGGTGAATTGTTGTATTGATCGTGTTCCGTATTTTTTTTAAAATTCTTAGATGTAAATAATTATATATATAATTGATTTGTACCTTTGCTTGTCGGTTTATAGCAGGGTGATCATTTCGGTTTATAGCAGGGTGATCATTTCGGTTCCATTCGATTTTTGATTCGGTTATCAAATAATATAACCGAATGTTATATAAATTTAATCGGTTTTGATATCGATTCGGTTTTAGCACAATAAAACTATAGCCAAACAGTTTAATTTGACTCGGTTTGATTTGGTTCGTTTTTTAAATTTGGTTCAGATCGATTCGATTTTGTTCCAAAAAATTTGATTTTTTAAAAAATAATAACGTTCGAAAATTTTAAACAGTTCGAATTGATAAAAAATACAGTAATTTTTGATTCGTTGTAATTCGGATCAGTTCCGAAAAAACGTACCGAAATACTCGGCCTACCAAATACACCTTTTAGTCAAAGTCAGTTTTCCACTTCTAATGGCATAACCTTTTTAATCTATATTATGAAATGAATTTTTAAAAATAGTTTTACCCGTAAAAGTTATGTATGAATAATTTTTGTATATTTTCCATAGAAAAAAATCTGTTTATTCATTTAGATATTTAATAAAATTTTATATTTTCTTGTTTTTACTAGTTTACTCTTATATTTTACGGCACATGCACAGTCCGAATGAGTGCGGTTATACGTTTCTCTACATTTTTCCTTGTGCGGAATTTTCAACAAATAAGTGTGTGTATATATATATATTCTCCATTTACTTCCTCCATATATTTTTTCCATATGTATATGTATGTGTATATATATATATATATTCTCTCCATTTACTTCCTTCAGATATTCTTCCATATGTATATATATATATATGCATCTATATATAGAAACAAATCAGAGGATAATTATAAGGTCACATTAATGAGACACTAACCCCAAAAACACGCTATAAAAAGAGAAGCAAGCCTCATAACATTTCCATTGAAAATAGCCATGTCTCTTTCAAATTATATATGTGTATATATATATATATATAACACTTTCCGTCGTATCTTTTCCTAAAAAAAAATACAATCATTCAAAGAATGCAATCTATAAGAGTGGAATTTATTAGAACCAAACTTCAAGGATCGATTGGATTAGATGTTGACCCCAACATAACTAAAAAGACCAAAAAAAAAAAAGCTAAGAATTTGTGTTTTTAGTTATGTTGGCGCCAACATCTTGTCAAATCTTTCAACATTTCATTTCGTTCCAATATATATATATATATATATATATATGTTATTTGTATAGTTTTGAATTTGTGAGTGATTTGGTGCATATCTCACCAAAATTTCAAATTTTTTCTGTCTCTGTCGGAGAATTTACATAAAATTAGAGGGTTTTTTTTTTAAGAGCCCACTTCAAATTCTCTTTGGGTTAAAAATTAATATTGTCTAACATCTTGAATTTTAATAATTTTCGGTAAAATTTAACATAAATTTAGATTTTCTTCTTCAAATTTCTATCTCTAAATTTTAAAAACAATGACATATTTTTCTAAACAAAATAAATACTCTCACTAATTGGTTTTATTTTTGCTACCGCGTTGTAGATTCCACATATCTATCTATGCATTGTAGTTTCAAAATTTTGTATTTATCAATATCGAATTATTTTCAGTAATTAATGATGGTGATTAATAGGGACGAATCTCAGTAGACAAGAAATCGTCATTAGAGATGACATCCAAGTTCGAAGTGGCAGAGAAAACGTGAAGTGAGAGAAATTAATCTCATAAAATAAGATGATGATCTTAATTGATTTTTTTAAAAAAAATTTTAAATGATATATTTTTTGTTTGATATATTTTTTTTGAAAAGTTTCATGTACTTATTGGACAAATTAATGTTATACCTTTTTGGTACGTATAATGTATTTTACATTATTTTTAAAATTATTATAATAAATATAAAAAATCGACATATACATATTGATACGTTTATTTTTTTTAAATGAAAAAACACAAACAAACAAAAGATTTGTTTTTAGGTTCTTCCTATTTTTACGGAATTCAGAAGACATATGTATATGTTTCGCAAAATGAATTACGAAGTCTATGATAAGATTTGTTCGTAAAATTGATGTATGATGTATAAAGTTCGTATAAATCAATTTATAATAAATTTCTGATAATATGTTCTAATGGTTATTTAGTATTATTCTGTTGTGTTGCATTCATCGAAGACATTGAAAATTATAGAAGCAAAAAGCGAAACTCACATCTTCATAACTCTGGATTAGACCAATTAATTGAGATTAGAGAAAAGTTAATATGGGTTATCCAAAATCATCAAACGACGTTGTTTGTCTGCAACAATTGAATACAACTGTGTGAACGCGGTATCGAACACTCTCAGTCACCCCGACGCTCATAGTGCGAGAATCGAAAGAACACAGCGGTTTTAACGAGTTCGATTACCGAGCGGAGCTCGGACCTACACCTCGGCCGGACGGTGCCGGCGTATCCACTATACGACGGATCGGAGAAGAAAACGAAAGAAATCTGGTGGATCTCCACAAACCCGGAGTCTTACCTCTCTATGTGTTTATACATAGCAAACAAGAAGAAAAGAACCGAAAGGAAGAACCCGAGAGATAGCAAACCTGACCGCCTTCGGTCTCCACCGGAATCGTCACCGGAAATGCCCTTTCTCTATCTCCTTTCTCTCTCTTGTTTCAGCCGCTTCTTCTCCGTCGAAGACTGATGATTCGATACCTTAAGGTTTCATTAACCCTTTTGTCAATACGCATCGTTTTTCAAACGAAACCAAGACCCTCCTTCTGATTAAAAGGGTTTCTCCTCTTTTTCCGCCAAAGCTACTTGGGCGTTAGGCCCACAAAACCCAACAAACTGGTTAGAATATGTTATATAATTTATCTATGAAACCACTATCATTTTTTTTATAATCGAATATTCTGGATCAAAGTCTAGACTAATTTCATGATCCAAATTTATCTATATATTTAAAAATACGTCTCATCCCCAAATTTAAAATTCGAATTCAGAACGGTATAAATGTTTTGCATCCCCTTTTTACCAATTAAATTACCTAAATTTGGATTTTTTTTTTTATCTTGTATAGATCTATAAACTTAAAGTGAAATAAAATTTTAAAATGTTTGACATGTTTTTTTTTGTGTATATATAAATTAATCGTTAGCCCTTATATATATATATATTTTGTTTTGTATTGTCCATATCCTTTTGTGTATTTTTGTAGGTGAATAATTATATATAATGAGAAAAATTCCAGACGAATTGGTTAATTATTAGAACTATAATCATTGTAACAACCCGAAGCTACTACAGAATATCAAAGTTGTCCTCACACACAAACGCGAGACCTTTTAACATGTCTTGTCCTCACTCGCACATATCCCGGAAAGTAATTTCCAGGAGGTCACCCATCCTAAAACTACTCAAAAGCGAGCACGTTTAACTTTGGAGTTCTCTCGAGATGGTTAACCGAAAAGGTATATGCATTTTGTTGCTATAATTAGCTTAATCAATTCTTTTAAGTTATCTTTGACTGTATAGTCTCATACCTACACAACCCTCGAATCCCTCTCATTCGGATGCGTTCGATTCATCCATGTACTCCCTACCCAGAAACTACTCGGAGCCACTCCTTGTCCGTACCTCTCGCACCGACGATCACTCTCCGCTCTCCTACAGTATCTTGGGCTACAACAGGCCCACCAATTTTCGCTTGGTTCATCCTAGAACCACACCGTACTGGAAAAGAACCGACTCTGGTACAATTCGTAACAACTCGAAGCCGCTACGGAATATCAAAGTTGTCCTCACACCCCAATATGAGACCTTTTGCGTGTTTTGTCATCACTCGCACGCATCCCAGAAAGTACTTCCCAGGAGGTCACCCATCTTAAGACTACTCCAAAGCAAGCACGCTTAACTTTAGAGTTCTCTCGAGATGATTAACGAAAAGGTAGATGCATCTTGTTGTTATGAGTAGCTCAATCAATTCTTTTAAGTTATCCTTGACTGTATAGTCCCACACCTATACAGCCCTCGGATTCCTCTCATTCCGGTGCGTTCGATTCATCCCTTTATCTCCTACCCAAAAGCTCATCAGGAGTCGCTCCTTGTCTATACCTCTCGCCCCCGCGATCACCCCTCGCCCTCCTACGGTATCTTGGGCTGTCATAGGCCCACCAGCTTCCGTCTGGTTCGTCCTCGAACCACACCGTATTGGGAGAGAACTGATTCCGATACCATTTGTAACAACTCGAGACCGCTACGGAATATCAAAGTTATCCCTACATATCAAAACGAGACCTTTTTGCGTGTTTTGTCCTCACTCGCACACATCCCGGAAAGTACTTCACAGGAGGTCACCCATCCTAAGACTACTCCAAAACGAGCACGCTTAACTTTAGAGTTCTCTCGAGATGGTTAACCAAAAAGGTAGATGCATCTTGTTGGTATGAGTAGCTCAATCAATTCTTTTAAGTTATCTTTGGATGTATAGTCTCATACCTACACAGCTCTCAGATCTCTCTCATTCCGGTGCATTCGATTCATCCCAGTACCCCCTATCCAGAAGCTCGTCAGGAGCCGCTCCTTGTGGAATTCGTCTATAACAATAGTTTTCGTTCAAGTATCAGGATATCACCCTTTGAGGCGTTATATGGAATACTTGTAAGACACCTCTTTGTTAGACAAAAGTTAGGGAATCTGCATTCGATAATTTTATACAATCAGATGAAGAATATTTCTTTGATAAAAGAGAAAATTTACATGATCCCCCAAAAGTCTCACACATTACCAATACCCTCGTCCTGCT